GTAGGGCAACTCGATCGGGCAGGGAAATAAATTTTTGTACTTTGGGGCAGTTCTTACAATTTTCAAACGGTCTTCAAGCGGCACATAGGGCATAAATTTCTTTTTTGAATAGTTACTATCGGTCTGTAAGTGGCACGTAGGGCAACTCGATCGGGCAGGGAAATAGATTTTTGTACGTTTGGGGCCGTTCTTAAAATTTTTGAACGGGCTTCAACTCAGACAATCGCCGGGGGCAGGCGGGCACCGGAAAAATAGATTGCTGATCTCTCGCACCCCGCTCGCGGATTTTTTGCAAAGCAATCAGGACTTTTCGGAAGACCGCTTGCTGAATTCTCGATTTCTCAGAGATTCAGCAATATATCTGCAAAAGAAAAGAGCGAAAAAAATTCAACAGGCGGTCTCTCAAAAATCCGCTGACTCAGCAAGCGGTCTTCCGAAAAGTCCTGATTGCTTTGCAAAAAATCCGCGAGCGGGGTGCGAGAAATCAGCAATCTATTTTTCCGGTGCCCGCCTGCCCCCAGCGATTGTCTGAGAAGCGGCACATAGGGCATAGATTTCTTTTTTGAATAGTTACTATCGGTCTGTAAGCGGCACGTAGGGCAACTCGATCGGGCAGGGAAGCAGATTTTTGTGTGTTTGGGGCAGTTCTTACAATTTTCAAACGGTCTTCAAACGGCATATAGGGCAAAATTTCCTTTTTGAATACTTACTATCGGTCTGTAAGCGGCACGTAGGGCAACTCGATCGGGCAGGGAAATAAATTTTTGTACTTTGGGGCAGTTCTTACAATTTTCAAACGGTCTTCAAGCGGCACATAGGGCAAAATTTCCTTTTTGAATGGTTACTATCGGTCTGTAAGCGGCACGTAGGGCAACTCGATCGGGCAGGGAAATAGATTTTTGTACGTTTGGGGCAGTTCTTAAAATTCTTGAAGGGGCTTCAAGCGGCACATAGGGCATAGATTTCTTTTTTGAATAGTTACTATCGGTCTGTAAGCGGCACGTAGGGCAACTCGATCGGGCAGGGAAATAAATTTTTGTACTTTGGGGCAGTTCTTACAATTTTCAAACGGTCTTCAAGCGGCACATAGGGCAAAATTTCCTTTTTGAATAGTTACTATCGGTCTGTAAGCGGCACGTAGGGCAACTCGATCGGGCAGGGAAATAAATTTTTGTACTTTGGGGCAGTTCTTACAATTTTCAAACGGTCTTCAAGCGGCACATAGGGCAAAATTTCCTTTTTGAATGGTTACTATCGGTCTGTAAGCGGCACGTAGGGCAACTCGATCGGGCAGGGAAATAGATTTTTGTACGTTTGGGGCAGTTCTTAAAATTCTTGAAGGGGCTTCAAGCGGCACATAGGGCATAGATTTCTTTTTTGAATAGTTACTATCGGTCTGTAAGCGGCACGTAGGGCAACTCGATCGCGCAGGGAAACAGATTCTTGTGTGTGTGGGGCAGTTCTTACAATTTTCAAACGGTCTTCAAGCTGCATATAGGGCATAAACTTCCTTTCTGAATACTTACTATCGGTCTGTAAGCGGCACGTAGGGCAACTCGATCGGGCAGGGAAATAGATTTTTGTACGTTTGGGGCAGTTCTTATAATTTTTGAACGGTCTTCAAGCGGCATATAGGGCAAATTTCCTTTTTGAATACTTACTATCGGTCTGTGAGCGGCACGTAGGGCAACTCGATCGGGCAGGGAAATAAATTTTTGTACTTTGGGGCAGTTCTTACAATTTTCAAACGGTCTTCAAGCGGCACATAGGGCATAAATTTCTTTTTTGAATAGTTACTATCGGTCTGTAAGCGGCACGTAGGGCAACTCGATCGCGCAGGGAAACAGATTCTTGTGTGTGTGGGGCAGTTCTTACAATTTTCAAACGGTCTTCAAGCTGCATATAGGGCAAAATTTCCTTTTTGAATACTTACTATCGGTCTGTAAGTGGCACGTAGGGCAACTCGATCGGGCAGGGAAATAGATTTTTGTACGTTTGGGGCAGTTCTTATAATTTTTGAACGGTCTTCAAGCGGCACATAGGGCATAAATTTCTTTTTTGAATAGTTACTATCGGTCTGTAAGCGGCACGTAGGGCAACTCGATCGCGCAGGGAAACAGATTCTTGTGTGTTTGGGGCAATTTTTACAATTTTTAAACGGTCTTCAAGCGGCACATAGGGCATAAATTTCTTTTTTGAATACTTACTATCGGTCTGTAAGCGGCACGTAGGGCAACTCGATCGGGCAGGGAAATAAATTTTTGTACTTTGGGGCAGTTCTTACAATTTTCAAACGGTCTTCAAGCGGCACATAGGGCATAAATTTCTTTTTTGAATAGTTACTATCGGTCTGTAAGTGGCACGTAGGGCAACTCGATCGGGCAGGGAAATAGATTTTTGTACGTTTGGGGCAGTTCTTATAATTTTTGAACGGTCTTCAAGCGGCACATAGGGCATAAACTTCCTTTCTGAATACTTACTATCGGTCTGTAAGCGGCACGTAGGGCAACTCGATCGGGCAGGGAAACAGATTTTTGTGTATTTGGGGCAGTTCTTATAATTTTTTAACGGTCTTCAAGCGGCATATAGGGCAAAATTTCCTTTTTGAATACTTACTATCGGTCTGTAAGCGGCACGTAGGGCAACTCGATCGGGCAGGGAAATAAATTTTTGTACTTTGGGGCAGTTCTTACAATTTTCAAACGGTCTTCAAGCGGCACATAGGGCATAAATTTCTTTTTTGAATAGTTACTATCGGTCTGTAAGGGGCACGTAGGGCAACTCGATCGCGCAGGGAAACAGATTCTTGTGTGTTTGGGGCAATTCTTACAATTTTTAAACGGTCTTCAAGCTGCATATAGGGCAAAATTTCCTTTTTGAATACTTACTATCGGTCTGTAAGCGGCACGTAGGGCAACTCGATCGCGCAGGGAAACAGATTCTTGTGTGTTTGGGGCAATTCTTACAATTTTTAAACGGTCTTCAAGCGGCACATAGGGCATAAATTTCTTTTTTGAATAGTTACTATCGGTCTCTAAGCGGCACGTAGGGCAACTCGATCGCGCAGGGAAACCGATTCTTGTGTGTGTGGGGGCAGTTCTTACAATTTTCAAACGGTCTTCAAGCTGCATATAGGGCAAAATTTCCTTTTTGAATACTTACTATCGGTCTGTAAGTGGCACGTAGGGCAACTCGATCGGGCAGGGAAATAGATTTTTGTACGTTTGGGGCAGTTCTTATAATTTTTGAACGGTCTTCAAGCGGCACATAGGGCATAAACTTCCTTTCTGAATACTTACTATCGGTCTGTAAGCGGCACGTAGGGCAACTCGATCGGGCAGGGAAACAGATTTTTGTGTATTTGGGGCAGTTCTTATAATTTTTAAACGGTCTTCAAGCGGCACATAGGGCATAAATTTCTTTTTTGAATAGTTACTATCGGTCTGTAAGCGGCACGTAGGGCAACTCGATCGGGCAGGGAAACAAATTTTTTATATGTTAATTGACGGTCTTTAGGTGGCTCAGTAGTGTGCTTTTCCAGAAGTGATCTCCTTTTGTAATAAAACTTCATATTCCTTTGGCGAAAAAATTGAGGGATTCTCTGAAAAAGCCCTTGCACGGTTGATTTAGTAGCTGTCGTTGATTCTAAGAGAAAAGTGTTTATCATAGTACACATAATTGTTATGGGTGTATTTCTACAAAACTGTAGGTGTTCTGCTACTTACTCAACGATCTTTTATGGAACTTGTTGAGAAGAACTGGAAGAGCAAATTCTCTTTGAGAGGGTAGAAAAGTGGGGGGGGGGGGGAGAGGTTATCTGAATGTCTCTGAGAGGAGAGGAAATTTGCAGAAAGAGCGTGGTAAACGAGAGGAAAATAATATTCTCCATGCATTGTTGTAGCAGGAATTTCGAGAAATGCTGAACGATTTGTGGAGATTATCGCTTCTTCGAACAGTTCTCCTTTTGATGCTTTTCGCAAAAAAGTTCTCAGGAAAGGAATAGGAGACTTAAGAAGTATCTATAGTCACAACTAAGCCCTTATATTGTCTAGTTATACAATATCACCCCAAACTATGTTATGTAAAAAGTTCCCAAAACTTGTGTCCTAATATCCGTTTTCGAGTTTGTTGGTTTCTAAACCAACTACCAAACCTACTGGGTTGGTTCGGAGCATAAATATCGGAGAGTTCACATAAGTTTTGGGCCTTTCTGATTTGGACGATTAGAACGGTCAAAAATCTATCAAATAGTGAAGAGAGCGGATCAAACCGTTGCCTCTCCCCTTTTTTGAGTCAAAAGTAATATAATTCTACGCGTTGATAGATATCGCGCTCCAGTCACTTGGGTGTCCTTTGAAATATGTGGCGAAAAATGCATCGCAGGATTGTTGAGGCTACAGATTTGGTTGGCTTAGGAGATTCTCGACATTCCCAGCATCAAAATGGTACTATACCCAATGGCAGAGCCTAATCGACTCGAAATGTTTTCTTTTTGCTTTTTTGTTATATCACATACCTCAAAATGCCCTTTTTTCGCTTTTTGTTGCTATTTTGGTTGAATAAGGGTTTGTCTACTGATTTTCACGTCGAGAGGGACTTCGTAAATTTTCGCGAAGTCATGAGGGACTTCGTTTCCTAAAAACCTCCAAACCAACGCCTGCCGGGCCCTGGTAGCAGCCACAGACCATCTATTTCTATCTTACTTACGTGTAGGACTTGTCATACAAAAGTAGGTTTTTTATGGCCCTCGCGGATTTCATACGAGTTGTACTCACATGCAATAAGACGCGCATCATCCGTGTCATTATCATGTTATAATGTTAGAAATAATTTTGTTTCACTGTTCTTTGGCACATTACGTATTCAAATCATTGAAAGACCATATGAGGAAATTAAAGGTTTGAAGGTCAAGAAGAGTTATTTTGAGATTTCCGCATCTGTTAGGAATAGATAGATTGACAGATTTCACAAAGTTGTTGAGATAAGTACTTATTTGTGGAATGTATTTCCTCAAAGGTGTACCCAAGAAAGTAATTTGTGACGAGCTTCTACAACATTAATGTTTTTGTGTGCCAGCTTTTGAATATCAGATTCTTTATGGTTCGGTCCCTCTCAATGAAAAATAGGCTATTCAATATTTTACTTCTTTCAGAGTGCCTTCGAGTAAAGTTTTTTGTATTAATATTTCCATTCAGCTGTGCGGCTACTTCACGGCAGTCTGTTTCCTCTGCACCGGCTTTATCTCCCTTTCCATTTACGCTGGTTTATTCGGTTTCTTGATTGCATGCTACATTTGTCTTACTAGCGTAGTTCTCGTTGACCTTTTTGGGTTAGGCAAGCTTACTGACGCTTTCGGTCTTCTTCTACTTTGGCAGGTGCGTTCTAGCGTAGAGTTTGCAACACGAAGTGATTGTAGAAAAATCTTCAGGGAGCTGGAACTGTCTTTGGTCCTCCTATTGCTGGGTATCTTGCCGATATGACCGGAAGCTACACTTTATCCTTCTTATTCTGTGGGATAAACTTGGTAGGTTTCCACAGCATAATTTTAATAGAATTTCTAAAATCACGGCTCAGGCTCTCGGCTTTCGGCTTTCTTATATCTGCGGCATTCGATGTATTTTGCAATGCCGTTAGTTACACCAGAATGTGATATTCATCATTTGAACATAAAATGTAAAAACGAGTTTTTTATTTGAAAGCTCAACAGCGTGATCCAAGAAAAATCACTCATTCATATGGAAGTTCCAATCTTCCTAACAAAACTATTTTCTGTGGATTTCCGTCGCTAAGTTTTCATGAACTTCCAATCCTGTTTTAACGAGAAGTTTTTTCTTATGACTGTAACAAATATGCTGCTGCAGTTCACAGGCCTAATCCCTTTTTTACAGATAGGAGGACTGATGTTCTTTGCTATACCTTGCCTTCAAAGAAAAGAGGAATTGAGAAATGTTGAAGCACTATGCAAATGAAGCAGCGATCGAAAAGGCTTTGGTCTTGCTCCAAAATTCAGTGTTCATCTGCAAAGTTTGCAAGAGTTTCTATTACCTACACACACTTCTTTCACTATCACAACATTTAGAGATTCTGGTCGAGTCCAAAGGATCTAATTTTCATTATTATTAGGTTGTCAAGAAAATAATGTCGGTTTTTATTTGCTTGCTTTAACAAAGCAACCATACTCAACCCAACAAAGGGTAAGGGGTACTGTTCAATAGAGCAAAGCAAGCTCTACAAGATGGCACTCATATCTTTGCGCCATGCTCAATCCACGGAGAGTTCGAACTCAAAATCTAAAGATTTCCAAATGCCCAAAAAATCGAAAAAAATCAGATCTTCGTCCAAATAATTTCTACGGACCTCTCACTTGCTCCCATCAATACTATCGATATCTGAGATCCATATGTGCGATTGCCGTATTTTTTCCTTGACTAGAAACTGAGAAAACGAAGATTTCCCTGATTTTCTCAAAGCAATGCTGAGCCGTTTTTGCATATGTAGTTCTATACTACAAGACTAGGTAAGTATAACTGTAGATTTTCAGCCCATTCCAAGCGGTAGTTTTCGAAAAATAACGAATTCGGATTTTTTCGTTTCAGTTCCAGTGCTAAAATCGACATTTCTCGAAAAGTACCGCTCGAAATAGGCTGAAAACCTACAGTTATGCTTATCTAGGCTTGTAGTATAGAACTACATATGCAAAAACGGCTCAGCATTGCTTTGAGAAAATCAGGAAAATATTCGTTTTCTCAGTTTCTATCAAGGAAAAAATACGGCAATCGCACATATGGATATCAGATATCGATAGTATTGATGTGAGCGAGTGGGAGGTCCGTAGAAATTTATTTGGACGAAGATCTGATTTTTTTCGATTTTTTGGGCATTTGGAAATCTTTAGATTTTGAGTTCGAACTCTCCATGGATCGAGCATGGCGCAAAGATATGAGTGCCATCTTGTAGAGCTTGCTTTGCTCTATTGAACAGTACCCCTTACCCTTTGTTGGGTTGAGTCTGGTTGCTTTGTTAAAGCAAGCAAATAAAAACCGACATTATTTTCTTGACAACCTAATAGAAACTGAGTTTTTCAATAATTTTTACAATTATCGCTTTTTCTGCATCAATCGCTCGAAGAACTGCGCAAATTTTGAGTTATGACTTCAAAACTTCCGAATTTGGATGAATATCGAACAAATTGGATTCTCATGTTTTAGAGATTTATCGTTCTGTTTGGTCACAGGTTGTTGAAAGATTTAGCCAAGAATGGGGAATTTTAAGAATGCACCGAATGGTTGATCCTTGAGAACACTTTTGTTTGACGAGCTTTCAGCGGTTTTTGTTCGAAAGGTTGGCTTCAACTCGTTTTTGTAGCATAGAACAAATATTGCGCTTTATTACCGTAGTATCACAATTATAGCCTTGCAGATGATTGAGCCATTGAGGCTCTATTTCTCCTCAGAAAGTGAAAATAATTTGAAAAAAAATATATGAAGTTAATCAGAATCGCTGGCTGACTCTGAGTATAAATTCTAAACTCAGCTTAGCGCTTGTTCATCCTTGATTTATGCCAAGTGTAATAATTGCTCTTACCTGTTTCTCGAGAATGTGATCATTAGAAAATTACAAACTCGTAAAGAAATGAGTAATGAAATCCAAGTGCGTGAAGATCCTGGTGCAAAACTTGTCAGAGTCTTTTGAAAACTTTTTGAAACGGTTAAGTAGAAAGACAGCAGTAGATTACAAAAACTTCTGGCACGCGGTCATGGTCTGTATGTTGGATGTTTCTATTGTAATTCTGCAATATTGAAGACGATTGGGATTTCCATGATCTAAGTTGAAGCCAAGTCTACAGTACGATGTTTGAAGATATATTTTTTGGCACAATTCAGAAGAGAATTTGCTTTCGTTTGCAATGAAACTAACAGAGTAATGGAAAAGGTTGCACAAATTCAAACATTCGTACGGCTGTTTGCTCATTAGTGCGAAAGTAAATATTAGAAAGAAAATCAAGCTTTGACTGAAACTAGCAAGCAGTTTTGAGGAGAAGGTGTGACATCAAAACTCTCTTAAAGCAGCTATTCTTACTGATTGTTTTGAAAAGCCGCTGCCACTCTGAGAAGCCACTTTGGAAGAAATCTCTCCTAGATGCTTCGTTTTCATTCTCATCAAACTCGTTTCTTTCCGTGCACTTTGTCCAGTTGTATCAGTTTTTCTTTTGATGAAGTAAGCCTCACGAGAACATATTTCAATTTGTTGTCTCTTCCTCTATCTACACTCGCTAATTCTGCTTTCTTTAATTTGTTCTCCATGAACCTCTATTGCGGTCTTGATCGCTCATATAAGTACAGAGTCTATTCATTTTTCAGTGTGTAAAGTGACGTGTGAACCCTTTTTTCTTGACAATTTCAGTAATGAGTCTGTCCTCTAGCCTATAGCCTTAGGCTAGACACTGATAGATTCAGTTTTTTAGTGAAATAAATGTATTGTGTTTAGCTTTACTACCTCATGTTATCTTTCCCACACCGTTGAAAATAAATACCCAAAGTATGCGTTTGAAAATTTTTTCTTTATTGGAAACTATGATGGTATACAAGTTCCTCCCTGGTTGACAAGTAAATTTGAGCTTCTTATTGAATGCACAAAGAACAAGCAGAGAAGCAGGAACTAAGCGAAACATGGCGTGAATGTTGTAATCATAAATTAAGCAAGTATACGATAGTTTCGAAGATCCTCTTGTTCTCGCCATGCAGAGAAGGACCGTTCTGAAGCTTTCCATTAATCGGGAGACCTTCCTTCTGTGAGAAAATGTTGCTGCGAATCGTGTAGAAATTCTAAGTTCTCCTCCAACTCGCAGAAGTTCGACGGAAAGACGATCTCGTCCTAAAGCCGTGGAAGTCTCTAGAGTCTGGATCGCCGCACTTCAGCAAGTAGAATCCGCATGATGCTTTAGTAAGAACACGGGCGTTGAGGCAAGTGCTGATGAACAGAAGAGGTTGGCGTGAAAGTCCTCTTCATAATAAATTTTATCTTATAACGGATTGCAGTCGGGGTCTCATCCTCGTTCAGTAGCGCTGTCAGCGCTACGTAAACAGAGGTCATTTCGCAATCTCAAGCTTCGTCTTTCATGGTCTCCAGTACCTTGCTTGCCTGTACTTCCAAAGACATGCAAAGCCATTCTGCAATGACGTTGATTATCAGTCCACGAGATGGGTTCGGTGGAATCTGCTTCAAAGTCTGTTTCTTTCAAGCAAAACTTTGGTGACCTTCAAGATGCATTGCGAATTCTTCTCAAAAGTCATTGAGGGCCACTCTTCGCAAGCTCGTAGTTCCTCAAAAGGGGGTTCTAGTCGTCTTAGCCAGACATCCGTCCGAAGTCGGACACGGCTCTACATTGCCAGTTCGACACCCAGGACCACCCCACGCCACGGCGAGGCGGTGGACCATAACGGGACATCCAAAGATGTCTTCCCATATCGTGTATTCTCGCAGAAATAATAAGCAATCAAGTTTATTTATTGTCATGTGATCACACAGCATTAGTATAATTACGATTTACATAATACATTTACAAGAACATAGTCACTGGCCCTTTATGGATAGTACACAACCTGTGCGCATGCCAACGACTACTTTGCATAGATGAAGCTTTGAAAAGTAGTTGAGAATGTTGCTTTGTACATTTTGGGAAGTAAGACTATTTCAGCGTAGTAGAATAATACTTCCTTTAGAACAAACACCGCACGTCACAGGGCAACGCTTTCTGGTGTCAGCTCGGATATTTCGATTTTTATGGTTACACATCCGCAGCGTAAATTGCTTTCTGCTTGTGCAGATATTTCTTCTGTTCATGAATTGATCGATGCACACTAAAATATGCGTTAAAAGTTAAGGAACAAAACATAGGAACAAACAACGACATTATAACTGACACTTGCAGTATCCACATGTGACAGGACAGTACTTCTTCAGCATATTTTTGTAGCTGAAACAGGCGCATTTTACAATTGTTGACAAAAGTAGAAAATGAAAAATGAGTATGTTTTATGCTGTATATTCTCACCCTTCGATATGACACATTCTTCTGTATTTGGAGCAATTGATGCGACTTTTTCCTATCCTCTTCGCATCAACACAGGTCTGAGGATTAGTGGTTGTTGGCCGTGCTGATGTGGTCGTTGATGGGACTTTCTGGAAAGCTCATCACTCGTAATTGGATTTAGTTTAGTACATCTCCATTCCAAATCAAAAATTTCTGAAATCGGTTCCTATGTGAGGCCGACTACTTACCTACATAATATCTTTTGGTTATGGTTATATTTCATGCTTTTATAATGCAGCGTTGAGGCCATGCAAACAACACAAATCCAAAGAAATTGTCTTAAGTGTGTACAAACTTCAAATTTTTGCTCAGAGACTGCATCAGAGAACAGAACGCTTTAGCTTACAAATTTTCTGATGGCACTTTTTATAGAAAGAGATCAAACTTTTTGGATATCCCTTGATTGCTAAGGATCAAATTACATACCGTGCTGGTGGTACTACTAGGAACTGTGGTACTAGTTGATGGCGTGGAAGTATCGTGGCTGTAGTCCGTCTCTGTACTTGGAAGTATAGTAGGAATAATTGAACTTGTGACTGTAGGCTTCGAAGTGATCGTAGAAGTAGATTCCGCGATTGGGGATACAGTCGTTGTTGCTGTGCTTAAGAATGCTGTACTCGCATCTGTGATGGGGTCGTCATTTTCCAAGAAGGCTCTCTTCGTTATCGCAGCCGACGTGACCTCTTTGGGCGTAGTTGTGCTCAAGGTTCCCTTTGTGAAAGTAAACGCCTTGCTCGCAGCATCTTCCGTTTCTCTTCTTTCCGTTGTAGAAGCTGTTGTCTGCATACTTGTAGAAAATTCAGAAATATCTCTCCTCATTGGGGCAATGGGATCTGCCTGCGTGTATCCCTCGGTTGACGAAAAGACAACTTGCGAAGTCGAACTTTTCAACTCAGAACCTTCTGTCGTAGCATCAAGAATCAAATCCTTCTCTGTGGCTTCAGACGATAGCATTGTGGCTGTAGTCACTTCTTTTGTTAAGGCTTGCTTTGTTTCTTGTGTAATTGTAGACGTTGATGGCATTGTTGATACAGTTTCTGAAACATCTCTCCTCATTGTGGCGATGGGATCTGCTTGCGTAGATTCTTCGATTGACGAAAAGACAACTTGCGAAGTGGAACGTTTCAAGTGAAAACCTTCCGTCGTAGCTTTAAGATTTTGATCCATTTCTCTGGCTGTAGACGACAGCATTGTGGCTGTAGTCACTTCTTTTGTCAAGGCTTGCTTTGATCCTTGTACGATTGTAGACGTTGATGGCATTGTCGAAACAGTTTCTGAGACATCTCTCCTCATTGTTATAACGGAGTTTGTTGTAGATTCCTCGCTTGGTTGTGTGAAATCGCCTTGAGAAGTGGATTCTGTAAGCTCAGAAGCTTTGGTTGTAACTTCAAGAAGCTCAGCCTTTCCAGTGGATGCAGACGGTAATACCATTGTTGCATTTACTCCTTCCATCATCGTTGAGCTCTGTTCCGCTGGTGTACTGGTAGATTCTGATGACGTGGCGAATATAGATCCTGAGATGTATTCCCTCGGTGTGACTGTAGATTCCCGCTGAGTGATATCCATAGTTGCTGTAATGAGAATATCTGATGTAGAAAGTTCTGAATCAGAAGTTTCGGTCGTGGCACTGAGGAGTTCATCTTTTTCCGCTGGCGTAGACGGTCGCGATTTGGTTACAGTCACCTCATCAGCAGCGCCATGCTTCGTTGACGGCATAGTGGATGCAGTATCTGAGGTGTCTCTTCTTATTGTGTTTGCGGAATTTGCCTGAGTGGAATTTTCGTTTAATGCTGTGATAAAGACTTGAGTTGAAGAGTCCTGAGAAGTTTTGGAGGTTTCTGTCACTTTTATGAATGAAATCGGCGTGTTCGTGACCTTCTCGGTTTGTGGAGCTTCGGATTTCCTTTGTTCAGCTGAATCGTCGCTTTTGAATATATTTTCTAGCTCCTTAGCGTCGTCTTCTAAGGAAGAACCGAAAAGATCCAGATTTGACTGTTCCCTGAGGTCTCCACCCTAAAGTAAATGCATTTTCGCCTTAATTAAACATCAGCAGTCATTAAGCACAGAACTGAGGAGGAATGCTTTACCGCTTTGGTGGTCGTAAGTGCGACACCGAATAAGATGATCTGCAACAGAAGTGGGCGTGAGATCATTTTTCATTGAAGAAAACGCTACATCCTTTTATATACGCACGCATCTGCCTGGTCAAATATTTATTTGAAATTTTATCAAGCTGAATCAATACAAGCACAGCTTGTCGCCAATATTAAATGGACTTGTTTATATTGGTCAGTGAAACTAACACTTTGTTTTGAGCTATGGAAATTGAGATGAAGAAACTAGTTAATTCAATACTCCTACATGTTGAGAATCTGAACGTTAGGAAAGTATCAGGTTGGCCTGAGTGAACCTTTATGGAAAATACCTTTCTCATTCATGGATTTGCTTATCATAGTTATTTCTAAGCAGAGAAAATTATAAAGTTCGTAACAAGCAGCTTAGCGACTACAAAAGAAATATGCAGCAGCCGTCAGAGATATCAGCTGGAGGAAAAATCTTCGAATTTCGATTTCTTTTTAGTAGGACGCCGTAGTTGGAGAGCTCTCAATGAGATCCGGGACCGTTCAGTATTTTTCAGTCCACTCTTTTGAGTTTGGGGTGAGCATCTCTGCTGAAAAAACTCTTTATTTAGACTTTTTTTAAAAAAGTGAAAAAAATAGTTGCAGTTTTCTAATGTGAACTCGAAAGGCATACCCCTTCAGAGAGACTTTCGATTACTTGCTCTTTTAGAAAGAGTAGGATTGAATTCCTACCACAGTATTTCACATTGTATCCAGTATTTTCGAATTGTGGTAGACTTCACATAAAAGGTCGTTGACTGACCTTGTCTTGAGTGGAGAAATTTTTCTAAAAAGTATCATAACAAAAACAATGATCTCCTTTCTCCTTGGAAAATTCAACGAAGAGCAAATTCATCAATAACAAAAAAGTGCAAAATTCTAATTCGAGGTTACGGGTCATCTTGAAGACACCCCAAATCAAATTTGACAAAATAAGTTTGACACACTGAGTATAAACTCAGTTGCGTCCGTCACAGTTGTGCGGGCTACTGGTCTTATGGTGGACTGAAGGTGAACACTCTGGTTTAGCTTTGCAGTACATTGCACTAGGGGAGGTCTAGACGTGCAGCGTTGACGAGACGTTTGGCGGTGTAGTGAAATACGAATGCGAATGCTACGATCCTTTTCAGACTCTTGACGAAGACGAATTGTTCGAAACGTTGAGTCAATAAAGTTCCACCAATCAACCTGGTTTCGGCATAAAAATCTTATATAACGATTGAAAAGAATAAGCTGCGTTCAAAAACGTCGTACACAGTAGTGATTAAGAGCCTGGCGAAAGCTGCGAAAATAAATGTCAAAAAAGTATCGTCTGCGCCCCAGAGAGGTTCTTCCCATACCTTCGATAGTCAAGAGACAGAGCCTAGAAAGTGATAGTTGTTGGAGTTCTTGCCCCCTATAAAAAGTGAAGGCTGTTTTACAAAAAATAGATGGAAATTTAGAGATCTGAATTGAACCAGGAAACTTGAAAAATTCATATAAAACAGAGGCTAACACAACACCAAATTTAAAACCTCGTCTTGGTGGTTTCCTACGCATATTTTTGTCTTCAGAATTGCCGGTTAAATTGGGTGGCAACAGGAACTTTGTACGTTTGGGGCAGTTCTTAAAATTTTTGAACGGGCTTCAAGCGGCACATAGGGCATAGATTTCTTTTTTGAATAGTCTATTTCCCTTCCCGATCGAGTTGCCCTACGTGCCGCTTACAGACCGATAGTAACTATTCAAAAAAGAATTCTATGCCTTATGTGCCGCTTGAAGACCGTTCAAAAATTATAAGAACTGCCTCAAACGTACAAAAATCTATTTCCCTGCCCGATCGAGTTGCCCTACGTGCCACTTACAGACCGATAGTAAGTATTCAAAAAGGAAATTTATGCCCTATGTGCCGCTTGAAGACCGTTTGAAAATTGTAAGAACTGCCCCAAAGTACAAAAATTTATTTCCCTGCCCGATCGAGTTGCCCTACGTGCCGCTTGACCGATAGTAACTATTCAAAAAAGAAATTTATGCCCTATGTGCCGCTTGAAGACCGTTTGAAAATTGTAAGAACTGCCCCAAACACACAAAAATCTGTTTCCCTGCCCGATCGAGTTGCCCTACGTGCCGCTTACAGACCGATAGTAAGTATTCAAAAAGGAAATTTTGCCCTATATGCCGCTTGAAGACCGTTTGAAAATTGTAAGAACTGCCCCAAACGTACAAAAATCTATTTCCCTGCCCGATCGAGTTGCCCTACGTGCCACTTACAGACCGATAGTAAGTATTCAAAAAGGAAATTTATGCCCTATGTGCCGCTTGAAGACCGTTTGAAAATTGTAAGAACTGCCCCAAAGTACAAAAATTTATTTCCCTGCCCGATCGAGTTGCCCTACGTGCTGCTTACAGACCGATAGTAAGTATTCAAAAAGGAAATTTTGCCCTATATGCCGCTTGAAGACCGTTTGAAAATTGTAAGAACTGCCCCAAACGTACAAAAATCTATTTCCCTGCCCGATCGAGTTGCCCTACGTGCCGCTTACAGACCGATAGTAACTATTCAAAAAAGAATTCTATGCCCTAAGTGCCGCTTGAAGACCGTTCAAAAATTATAAGAACTGCCCCAAACGAACAAAAATCTATTTCCCTTCCCGATCGAGTTGCCCTACGTGCCGCTTACAGACCGATAGTAACTATTCAAAAAAGAATTCTATGCCCTATGTACCGCTTGAAGACCGTTCAAAAATTATAAGAATTGCCCCAAACGTACAAAAATCTATTTCCCTGCCCGATCGAGTTGCCCTACGTGCCGCTTACAGACCGATAGTAACTATTCAAAAAAGAATTCTATGCCCTATGTGCCGCTTGAAGACCGTTCAAAAATTATAAGAACTGCCCCAAACGTACAAAAATCTATTTCCCTGCCCGATCGAGTTGCCCTACGTGCCGCTTACAGACCGATAATAACTATTCAAAAAAGAATTCTATGCCCTATGTGCCGCTTGAAGACCGTTCAAAAATTATAAGAACTGCCCCAAACCTACAAAAATCTATTTCCCTGCCCGATCGAGTTGCCCTACGTGCCACTTACAGACCGATAGTAAGTATTCAAAAAGGAAATTTATGCCCTATGTGCCGCTTGAAGACCGTTTGAAAATTGTAAGAACTGCCCCAAAGTACAAAAATTTATTTCCCTGCCCGATCGAGTTGCCCTACGTGCCGCTTGACCGATAGTAACTATTTAAAAAAGAAATTTATGCCCTATGTGCCGCTTGAAGCCCGTTCAAAAATTTTAAGAACTGCCCCAAACGTACAAAAATCTATTTCCCTTCCCGATCGAGTTGCCCTACGTGCCGCTTACAGACCGATAGTAACTATTCAAAAAAGAATTCTATGCCCTATGTGCCGCTTGAAGACCGTTTGAAAATTGTAAGAACTGCCCCAAACACACAAAAATCTGTTTCCCTGCCCGATCGAGTTGCCCTACGTGCCGCTTGACCGATAGTAACTATTCAAAAAAGAAATTTATGCCCTATGTGCCGCTTGAAGACCGTTTGAAAATTGTAAGAACTGCCCCAAACACACAAAAATCTGTTTCCCTGCCCGATCGAGTTGCCCTACGTGCCGCTTACAGACCGATAGTAACTATTCAAAAAAGAATTCTATGCCCTATGTGCCGCTTGAAGACCGTTCAAAAATTATAAGAACTGCCCCAAACGTACAAAAATCTATTTCCCTGCCCGATCGAGTTGCCCTACGTGCCGCTTACAGACCGATAGTAACTATTCAAAAAAGAATTCTATGCCCTATGTGCCGCTTGAAGACCGTTCAAAAATTATAAGAACTGCCCCAAACGTACAAAAATCTATTTCCCTGCCCGATCGAGTTGCCCTACGTGCCACTTACAGACCGATAGTAAGTATTCAAAAAGGAAATTTATGCCCTATGTGCCGCTTGAAGACCGTTTGAAAATTGTAAGAACTGCCCCAAAGTACAAAAATTTATTTCCCTGCCCGATCGAGTTGCCCTACGTGCCGCTTGACCGATAGTAACTATTTAAAAAAGAAATTTATGCCCTATGTGCCGCTTGAAGCCCGTTCAAAAATTGTAAGAACTGCCCCAAACACACAAAAATCTGTTTCCCTGCCCGATCGAGTTGCCCTACGTGCCGCTTACAGACCGATAGTAACTATTCAAAAAAGAATTCTATGCCCTATGTGCCGCTTGAAGACCGTTCAAAAATTATAAGAACTGCCCCAAACGTACAAAAATCTATTTCCCTGCCCGATCGAGTTGCCCTACGTGCCACTTACAGACCGATAGTAAGTATTCAAAAAGGAAATTTATGCCCTATGTGCCGCTTGAAGACCGTTTGAAAATTGAAAGAACTGCCCCAAAGTACAAAAATTTATTTCCCTGCCCGATCGAGTTGCCCTACGTGCCGCTTGACCGATAGTAACTATTTAAAAAAGAAATTTATGCCCTATGTGCCGCTTGAAGCCCGTTCAAAAATTTTAAGAACTGCCCCAAACGTACAAAAATCTATTTCCCTTCCCGATCGAGTTGCCCTACGTGCCGCTTACAGACCGATAGTAACTATTCAAAAAAGAATTCTATGCCCTATGTGCCGCTTGAAGACCGTTTAAAAATTATAAGAACGCCCCAAAGTACAAAAATTTATTTCCCTGCCCGATCGAGTTGCCCTACGTGCCGCTTACAGACCGATAGTAAGTATTCAAAAAAGAAATTTATGCCCTATGTGCCGCTTGAAGCCCGTTCAAAAATTTTAAGAACTGCCCCAAACGTACAAAAATCTATTTCCCTTCCCGATCGAGTTGCCCTACGTGCCGCTTACAGACCGATAGTAACTATTCAAAAAAGAATTCTATGCCCTATGTGCCGCTTGAAGACCGTTCAAAAATTATAAGAACTGCCCCAAACGTACAAAAATCTATTTCCCTGCCCGATCGAGTTGCCCTACGTGCCGCTTACAGACCGATAGTAACTATTCAAAAAAGAATTCTATGCCCTATGTGCCGCTTGAAGACCGTTCA